TATATAAGCTTAGATGTGTGAGTGGTGTAATGGATAATGTTTTGGAATTGTAAACAGGAGAGCCGAGTTTCAATTCCAGTTGGGTTTGCTATATTCAATTACGTGCAAATATCTATGAGAAAGGCATGAACCCATTCTTCTCACACCCCCAGCTATGGGTTTATTATTATGACTTGTATCACTAAATCTTTATTATTTCACCACACAAATATTTAAAATCTAAAAATATCTTATGGCTTTAAATAACCTGCAAAGGGTTGATAAACTGTAGAAAACAAATCACTCAATCCTAGAAATGAACAGATTAAGATTGTAGTGATCAGGGTAGCATCCTCTTGGGAGTCAGTTTCATAAAACAGTGGCTCATGGGAAGATGATACTCAAGTGGAACTTACATCTCACCTATGGAATATGAAGGGAATGAGAGTGGTTCACTATACTGTGCATTGTATAGTTGCAGTGGTGAATCTACAGTTAACCTATTTGTAGCTTGAACAGATATACCCCCCTCCTTCACAACCAGAAACAATAGATTTGAGGATCCAACTGCCAAAATGTAGGCTATGAATAGATTCTGACGAGCTCAAAGCAGTCATACAGCTGGAGGATTGGGTGCTTCCAATCCCTAAGAAAATTTTGAAAATTGACCAATTACATGGGAATTTTGAGGGCATATGAAATCAACATTAAAGCACATTTTAAGGCTAAAATTAGCTACTTCAGCCCATTGGTATATGATTCTATCATTAAAATGGCCTTATTTTGATAACAAGCACTTAAAAAAAATCAAATTTATTGAAAAATGCTTCTAGGATTAATGGCTTTGAAGTTTAAGCTTCATTAGTATAATAATAAATATGTCTCTTCATGGTGGGTCTTATCTGTGAAGGTTATGGTTCATTGTAACTGGAGAAAACTTATAGTCAGAACAATGATAATGAAATAATACTAGATTGTTTTTTGAGATATTAAAAGTTACAAACTAGTTCCCCATATCTGTTAATCTAGGTTAGAAGAGAGATTGGCAGCAAGGCTATGATTATTATTTTATGATCACTTTATATTTTATGATCACTTTATATTTATTTCACATGTAACCAGAAATACACAAAAAATAAACAAACAAAATGAGTTGAAACCTCAAAAGAGAATATTTACCTTACAATAGAGCTGCTTTTCTGGTGTTATTTGTCTATATATTTGATATATGACTATATATTCAAATAAGAAGTGTAATTAAATATGACAGACACTGGAATTAAAACTGCCATTGATTTTCCGGAAACATCTCATTGTAAGCCTTTGCTGTTTACTTAATTCATCAAGATATTTATATATTATCAATTTTCTGTCTTTTTGCATGGTTGGATGTCATCTGATAGGTTTTAGCATTTAGAATGTTCCCAGGACAAAGAATAGTATTTCTAAATTTCATCAGATTTAATGATAGGAATTTAAACATATATAAATATAAAACATTTTCTTTTAATCATTTCATCCCAAGCAAAGCAATAAAGCCACTAAGACACAGAAGATTACTGAATGTGAAAGAATATAAGAAAAACATTATCAAGGTGAGAGGACAATAAAAGAACAGGTATTAAGAAGATAATGATTGTTACTGCATTTAAATTTTTGAAGATGAAAGTCATCTTGGAAGCAAGAAGCCAGAAAAGAGTTCCAAAAGCAAGAAGTGTGAGAAAAGAAGTTGTTACCATAGAACTTATGGTTATATGTAGTCATTTCCACTGTAAAATGATGGAATCTTGCTGCTAATCTATTACTGTGCTTGAACTAATAGAATCTAATTACCATTGGGAAGAGTTCATTAGAAGATTTACTCAGAAATTCTTCATAGAAAAGATACAGGGAAGCTACATTACAATGATGGGAATGTGACTGAATTCAAGATGAAAGGTCAGGATTAATGACATCACAAATTCTTCTTTGTATTTTATCAAGGATTTCTAAATATGTAGCAGGAGAAAAAGGAGAAAAATTGTCCAGCACAATATATAAAAAATATTAATGTACATGATTACAAAACAAAACAAATATGATCATTAAATGCTTTGGAATACAGAAGAGCAGTGGAAATCGTTTTCTGAAGAGGAATTTTTAACCAAAACAATACTCTTGTTCAAAAGCCATCACAATGTGTCTTGTGAACAAATCTATCAGGCTCAAGTTTGGGCCTTGTCATAATCCAGATTTGAACCCTATATTTGTTATCAAATTAATCACAAACTAACTGAGAAACATTGGTCAAATACTCTGTTTGAAACATTGAATTGAGCCACATTAATTCTTTCAGGAAAAAAATGTCACCATGTTTGCCCATAAGATTAAGCTGTCCCATAAAGACTTACTTTATTCATTTGTTTAATTGATGCTTATTTCCTGACCAATGGTTTGTTGTTAAAGCCATTCTTTTTCTTTCATATGTCATATGTTCCCTCAGGATATTATATATCTCCACATGTTCCTACCCTTTGTAGTTCTAAGTAATGTTTGTCTCCTTGCTATCTGTCACAGTCCCTGTGCTGCCATCAATTAACACAAGCTTGTTACTTACCAGTACCTTCTGCCCTCTCTTGCCATCAATATCTCCTTTGAGTTACAAATCCTCCAAGCCCACTTTCCTCATTCTGTGTCTTAGAAATTTTAACTCTCACTTTATGATTCTAAGTAGAAAAGCCTTTTTTGTTTCCATTTTGTTTAAAACTTACTCATTGCTCACAGGCTCCATCCATGGTATTCTCAGCATGCTTCTGTAGCCTGAGATCTCCACTTCATCTGGGAAGAAATTGTTCAATATTCACTGCCATATATGAGGACTGACAGTTGGAGCATGTATTGATGTACATGCACTTGTATGTTTGTGTGTGTGTGTGTGCTTGTTTTTGTGTCTATACACATGCATATATATCCATGTATACATCTAACATTGTTTAAATGTTCATATCTGTTCTTTGTATATTTGATGTTATTAACACAGTATTTCAGCAGATTTATTCTTCAGCCCTCTTCAGTTGTAATCTATGAAAAAGAAAACTTCTATCTCTAGACAACATTAATGTATTAATGAAAACTGGTCTATTTTTTCAGTATTATCTGATCATCCTCAAAAAAAGGCTTATGGCCATATCACATTGAAACTGTAATTCCAGTATGATCACTGAAGTTAAGCATTGTCAAATCTGGTCAGTACCTTGATACCAGGTGGTGTAAGCTTGGATGTGCATATAGTTTAATAGATAATGGCTCAGAATTATTAACTGGAGAGCTGAGTTCCAATTCCAGTTGAGTACATTATATTCACTTACATGCAAATTCTCCTGGAAAAGGCATCAATCCACCTCTTTGACACCCAGCTATGGGTTAATTAGGAAGATTTGTATAGCTAAACCATTATTATCTCCAAAATAAAAATTCTGACAGTATAAAAATATTTTCTGGCTTTAAATAATGTGCAAAGTGTTTATAAGCTGTAGAAAATAAATCAATAAAAAAAACATTATTTACATTATTCGGACTATTGTCCTCATCTTTGTTACCATATTTATTACAACGTTTTGGCCATTGTACACTCCGGCCTTCTTCAGGAGATTGGAATATCGAACTGAACCCTTTATTTCGCTCACTAGGGTAGACTATTCTAGTTCCACCTACCATGTCTAATGGATATCAGTTAACAGTTATCTCCTGTTAATTCCCCTCTGAAAGTTCTCCACAGTGGATAAAGGCATTAGTTAGATCCAGTGACAAGACTCAAGGAGTGTGAGTTCAATACCCGGTTAAGACAGTGGAGAACTTTCAGAGGGGAATTAACAAGAGATAATTGATAACTGACATCCATTAGACATGGCACGTGGAACTAGAACAGTCTACCCCAGTGAGCGAAATAAAGGGTTCAGTTTGACATTCCAACCTCTTAAAGAAGGCTGGAGCAAACAATGGCCGAAATGTTGTAATAAATATGGGGACAAAGATAAGGACAATAGTCTGAATAATGTAAATAGTGTACATAATACCTCATCTCAGAAATATAGCCAGATACCAAAAAAAACATCATCAAACTAACACTTCTAACCAAATTCTTTCCAACCATTCCTGTCATCTATAACTATACTGACCACTTTATTTCTGATTCAGGTGGTGTTATCTATGAGTTGATTTACAAAGGTTCTTGCTGGTTTACCTCTTGATATTTCCACATAATTTAGCTCCCAAAGAATAAGACAAAGTACAACTTGTTTACTTCTCCAGCAATGGCCACTAAACTGCTCTTACTTTTTACAGACTGTGCCCATAATTTTTGGTAGGTTCCCATATATTTCTAAATTGGACATGTGTTTGTTTCTAGCTAACATTTAGCACTGCTCTCAATTGTTGAGAGTATAGGCCATGATCAGATATATGAAAAAAAAATCATCCTCTTGATTTAAATTGTCACTTAGGAATGTTATAAGATCTTTAGCTTGATTTAAAGACATTACTTCTGGTTTAATTTGATACATTAAATTCTCAGGTGATTTCAAACTATGCCAAGTGGGCTAAAGCAAAGAAAATTGTATTTATACGCATGTTCAACAGACCAATATACTGTCTCCTTCAGTTTCTTCATTCTGCATCAATGTTCTATATCAATCATCTCAGAAACATTATTGTCTACCATTTCTTCAAGGAGAAGAACATGCAACATGACTGTCTATATACAATCATTTGAAAATTTTAGAACATCCCCAAATAATATCTGATATTTCTGAAATATGAATATATTATTGGATTGTCTTTCAAACAATATATATATATATATATATATATATATATATGTGTGTGTGTGTGTGTGTGTGTGTGTGTGTGTGTGAGAATTACAATTAATGAGATCCAAACAATTTACCTCATACAGATGATCATTTCATGGATGGGAAAGTAGTATGAGGTAAATTGTTTGGATTTCATTAACTGTAATTCACTTATATGCTTTATAATAAAAA